GCGACAGGCTCTCTTCTTGGGGTTGTTCGTGCCTTTGTGATCTTCTGTACAAAAGAGGAGGGATATCCGTATTGCATCTACCACGATGAATAACAACAACCTTTTCCTCGACATAAGTTCCAGATGTTTACACTATTTTCCGGCCGCCATATCGGTGTACCACGGAGGTACACCAACATGGCGTTTTCATACTGGGCTCTGCAAATATCTGCGAAACATTTCGACGAATATCTGAAGTTTGGGGAAACGCACACGCCTAAAACTTGGAGTAGTGTGTTATTTAGTTGTCTTCTACAACATCATAATTTCATAGCTTTTTCCACTAGATGGTTTTCGATTTATTTTTTTCTTGCGTGACAGTGAAAACGATCTATTTGGGGATCATTTGCGGTCCGGGATCATTTGCGGTCCTGGGATCATTTGCGGACCCGTACAGACCCGTACAAAACTTAGGCAACGACAACGCCAACGCTGAGGACGACGCCCAGTCAAAAATGAATTTATATTTTACCAGCGAATTTCGCCGTTGTCTAGATCTGTTCGACTGAAACGCCCATGGTTCCAAAAATGAACAATGACTTCGACCGCGACAGCGTTTAATTTCAAAAAGAAATACGAAAAATTAGCCGTCGTTCGCCTTCCTCAGACGACGCAGAACCTGGTCATTTCACGCTGTTGTTGTGCATAGGACGGCAAAGAAATGTACAGGGATTTGTAACGCATGTGCACAGCTATTGTTTTGCTCATTTAACTCTTTGTTTGGCGAAGTTCTCGTTGCCGTCGTTGTCGTGGTTTGCTTAAGTTCTCTCTGATATTTCGTACACTCACCCACAACAGCAGCGACAGGCCAAATCGAAGCCATCGTTGAATAGGCCTTAGCCCAGACGACACAAACAAAGGAAACTGAATTACATGTTTATTCATTTCTTTTATTTTTGTCTTCTAGGCCTCGCTATCAAGCTGGATCTTAATATATCGAATGAGGCCCCCAGGGATTTCTTTGGCGACTGTCGATGTCCATAAGCCAAATCGAGTCACGCGATCTGCAAATATGCAAAATGCAAATCACGCCCCTCACAGCATAGGCTTTCTCATGAGAAGTAAGAAAACTCGCTTATGCTCTTCTATGAACCGAAAGTTCCGTGCACAGTGATCCGGTATTGCGAATAAATTTCAGTTGGTATCTCAGTTTTTCCCCGGTTTAGTTTACTGTACAGCGCTTTTTGTCACCGCAAACGGAGCTCTTTAATTTTTAAATGTTCTCCGGAGAGGAATAATTTAAAAACAGGCGGTCGAAGACTGCATGTGGCTACCTTGGACATGAATAACTGGCTCAACTTCTCGTTTTGATGGGAAATCAAAATAGCTTTCAAGCCATCTCGTGATATTTGAGAAGTTTGTATGTTCGTGACGCAGTATAGCTGGTTTTCACATGACGTCACCAAAATTCGAACTACAAAACTATTGATCTTCCTGAGATTTTACTAAAATGATGTATAAGAGCAGCTGAAAACTAATATTCATACAAATTTTCGCTTCGAATGGGTTCTTGGCTTTGTGATACACTACGCTTGAATTTCTAAGCTTTTGCGTGACGCGGCATTTGCATGACGGCCTAGAGAGTTGTCATGATGGTTAAAAAAGTGACTTATTTTGGGGAATTTGGCTATCTGAACAGTTCATGTCTTAGAAAGAGTATTATTTTAATGTTTTAGAGTTCTTCGAGGGATAAATTCACGCTTTTGTAGCAAAACTCAGTGACAG